TTTTGATATGGAATTGTATTATGAAGGAATAAACCAATTCCTTTATTTTAGGCGATTCCATTTTGTATTTCAATTACATATCAAATTTGTAGGTTCATTGGATTTTATGTAAAAAATAAATATAAAAACTCGAATACTATCGTATTTTGTTGACTCGACATTTCCTTTATTTTAGGCGATTTCCAAAAATTCGAACTTTCCTTTAATTCCTTTATTTTAAGCGATTTCAACTTGTATTTGAATTACATTCCAAATATATAGGCCGCATATGTCAAATGAGATGATTTGGATGTTCCATTTTGATTTTTATGTAAAAAAAATAGAAATAAAAAATTTCAAAAATAGTTATCAATTAATGTTGTCTGAAAATTTCGGTTACTAAATTTGGTAAATGGGTTTCTTATCTATATATATATAAAGAGGGAGTTGATGGAATTTATTGCTAAATATAGATGATATGCAATGACTAAAATTGGTAACATTTCTACATTTGGTTGGGTAATTGTAATTGTAAGGTTAATTATTTTTGTTAAGAATGCCAAATAATTATGGAAAATACATTAACATAACTAAATTCGTATTCAAATATTTTTGGTAAATTTTAGGAATGAAAAATAATAATTATAAGTTAACTTACTCAATTCATTATGTTTGGAAATATATTAATATTCTTTTACTATATATTTAAAAATATATAGCATCAACTACGGTTAGCCATATTCCAATCACTTGATACCTTAAATATATTTAATATCATGAACTCTACATATGTCATTACTATGTTTTTTAAGGCAGCAGTATTAGTTTATGCAAATAACCATACATATTAGTTTATTCTAACATTACGCATAGATCCAAAAAAACATGTTAAAAAGAATATTTATTATGAATGACATATTTAAATTAAGTTATTAGATGAATACATGATAATGGTGAATGCTGGTAAAATTTCAAAAATGATACACCAAGTTGAGCATTGTCAACAAAATAGATATTTTGTTGTTCC